TTGCATCATTTACAACATGTCAAACAAGCCTCCAAAATCAACTCTTTACCAGAGATAAATGCAAGGCCAGACATGCAGAGCTTTTTACAATCAAATATAATGTGGACATTGTAAGCTCTACCTTTTTAGTAAGAGAACCACACGGGTCGCAGGAGTTTAGAGTTTACCAGAGTGTAACGTTTGAGGTCTTAGTGTTGTTTTCACTTCGAAAGATGAACACTGCCTTTCATGGGAGATTGCACTTTATTTGGTCATTGTTTTAGAAAAAAATCTACTTATTCATTTATTTAACAGAAATCTTATTTATTACGAAGGACTTTTTAAAAATATTGGTTTGGGTTGATTAAGTTGAAACTGTTTTTTACCTTTTTAAAGAAAAGGAGGAATGAGTTAGATTTTTCACTTTGCAATTCAATGAGAGATGCACCGTTTAGTTTTCTGGCTGATTTCCTAATGGTCAAGTTAAATTTCAGTTTTTTCTTTAGTTCTTTTAATGTTGGCTTGAGCGACCAAACTATTAACTTTACTAGCTTAACTAAAATCTAAAATATGGGAATAGCGAGGTCTTTTTTTTGTTGTTGTTGTTTTATCTTGTCATTCTCTTTGTTTGTGAGTGTATAACGTGTTGTATTTGCAACTTTAAATGGCCGGATGTTCTTACACCAGCAGATGTTCTTACCCCAGTGTCTGCTGGTGTAAATCACACACCACAGTTGCAGCTTTTGGGAATATATTTTTCATTTCTGTCAAATAATAATGATTATTGTAATCATTTTGTTTGTTTTATAGAAAAAAAATGTTGGTAAAGCAAATGGTCTGAAAAGTCTGTACAGAAAAATAGGGTTTAATAAAATGGATGTTTAAATAATTTGTTCATAGTCGTTTCTTTCCTGATGCCAGAAAGATGGAATGTTGCCTCTGAAATCTTTTATTTCTGCTGTTTTTTATTTTAAGAACAAAAATTCACTCACTGTTGTGTGTTTTCTTTTGTTATTGTTTTTGTTTTTCAACTCACTTGTTCTTGGCTATAATTTTTCATCGGAGCCATCTTTTTTTTCCTCCGTATCATCAAATGTGGAGGGGATTACTAGCATATTTGATTAAAGAAATAAGTCATTGCATAGATTCCCAATGAAAGGGAAATTCCTAAAGTTCTGTTTCCATCGTCACATTTCATCCTTCTCAATACATATTTTAGATATGTATATGTCAGGCAGCAGTTTTATAGTGTTTCTCTTCAACAGTTTATTTTATAAATTGGCCTCACTGTCATGTCTTTTAAGTGGAGCCCTGAATGCAAAAAAAAAAAAATGCTTCTCGGCTTCCGTCCTCACTCATCTATCCCCTGTGCGGTAAGTACACATTTAAAACCTTGATTCCAGTGGGATGAATAATTGCATTTGTTTTGGCTCCTGCACAAAAATGGGATCAATCAACACTTGTTTAGTTTTTATTATTTTATTTTGAAATCTGAACAATGTGTCTGTGCAAAAAAGTAAGAGCACAGTGCAGAATTATTACGACTCGTGCTTCTGCTGCTCCTTTAGATCCACTTTTCCCTCGAATGATTTGACTCCCTAAAAATTAAAGCTGATACTTGGTGAGTTGGAATGCGTTGGTTGGAAAAATTGTTTTCTAAAATATGATTTCTTTTTTTTTTTTTTCTTGCCTGCATATTGTGTCAACATATAAAAATAATACCTGATTTAAAGAATTGTATTCATCAATATGTATGATACAGATTTCAGAGTATTTTTACTAAATTCAATTTGTTAATATCATCTAATAATGTTTTTTGTATTTTCCTGTTAAGGAATCTGCGACGGATACGGAAATGCCAGAGAGGATGGGAGCAGCTGCAGCAAGAACGCATCACTAAAGGCTCCTCCGACAAGTCGCAGGATGGCAGCAGTGAGCTGAAGATGGAGTGCATGTTCAAACTAAACTCCTACAAAATGGTTTACGTCTGCAAATCAGAGGACTACATGTATAGGCACACTGCGCTTTCTAGAGCTCATGAGGTGAGAACAGGCAGCTTTTTCTTTTTTCTTCTAAAGTAAATATGTATTCACTTTTTCTACTCGGTTGATAATCGCTGTCAGATCTTTTAATAGCAACAAGTAGTGCGGCTAATTCTTAATCGACTTTGTGCGTCTTAAACTCATTTGCAGCTAATTAGTCTTTTATAAGATCACTGCTGTTGTCTTTTAGCAAGAAAGCCCTTAATAGGAGCATAGCTGTTCAGTCTTTCTGCATGGATTTTACATTAGGGGAGAAGTGATTAATCAGTTTAATTGATTATTGAGAAAATTGATTAATCATTACCTTGAATATATACGCTTAAAAAAGGAAATTTTCTGTAGTCTTTCACAAGATAGATTATAGTTCACAAACTGTTTTCCAGACTTCATAATAAAAGTTTTCTTTGCTTCAAAATATTTTTTTTTCAGAAAAAAATAACAGCTGTTTTCAACTTAATATTTTAAAGGGAAAAATAGCTCTGCATGAACTCAATTGATGTCTTTAACACATATCAGACGCATGAAGTGTACTGAGACAGGACTGATCCTTTTTGTTTCCTGGCTGGGTTTTACGAGGAGCTGTGATGCCTCTGAATAGTTCAGATTCCAAAAGAACGAACGCTGGTTGCTAAACCCTAACACTCCCAGTGTGTGTTCCAGTGTGTGTTGTTTTATAGTAAATAATTAAGTCGCACCAGACATGTGTCTGATGCTGCCGATGCGTGTTTGAATGTTAATTATGTTTAGTCTTGGTTGTGATTCGTTCAATGATCAGATTTTAAAAAATAAACAGATTTTCAGTTGCAGCCTGAATGATCAGGGCAGAGCAAGTGAAAAACCGGCCAATTAGTCGCCGGACGATTTCTCAACTAATTTCTGTTGTTCTTGTTTATTTTTTCCCCTCTTATTTGTGTGGTTTTAGTCCCACCAGCGGGTAAACACACGTCTGCACGGCCGCTTCCAGACCTGGCTGGACTCCTGGGCCCAGAAGCATGTGACTCCTGAAATGGCCACCAACACTCACAAGTGGCTGATGGGAGATGTGGAAGAGGGACTGTTGTCATGCACCACCACATGCAGCCCCGAAGTCCTCCACTATCTCAACATCAACAAGTACCGGGTGCAGTACAGGACACTGTAGTTCAAACAGTTCATACGCCTGCACACTTTAAAACTGCCTGAGGTGAAATTGTTTTTTTTCCAACCTTCCAAAACTGGACTCTGCTGCCAAACGATATTGGTTTTTACTTGTTTGTTTTCTAGTTCAAGATTTTTGCTGCAAATCCTGCAACAAATATATTGGAAAAAGCCACCCATCAGAGTGCTAATATGTTCGATAAAAACACAGGAAGCGGCTCTCTTGCTCTCATCTGGGCTAAAGTTGAATTAAGATTCTCGTCACCGAAACTAAACAACTGAAGGATAAAACCGTTCACGTTCTGTTAACTCCAGCTGTAAACCTCTTTAGGCTTTGAATGTTTTCAGTTGGGGGTGAAGGCAAAACGATGCACTATACAGTCAGTATAAAAATATGTATTCAACATTTCTGGCACCTGGTCGACATTAGTACCATGTCAGCTCTGTGTGTCAAGAACAATAATTTATAATTGCCCAAAATGTTTCTTGTAAATATGTTGTTTATAACTAGATTTCTTTTTTTATCAGGTGTCATTGGTGTGTAGCATACAGTTTATAAAAATATATATAGAGTGTCAACATTTAGCCAGAAGATGCAAAGACTTTTATCAAGAAAAGGCAGTTTTACTGTTTTTTTTCTCTGTTTTGTTTTTACCAAAAGAGGTTATTTACAGACCTTTTTTAAATTTTAGTCTGCTGAACATCTTCCCAAAGTGTTTTTGTTTAGTAAAAAAAAAAAAAAGAGAGAGAAAGAGGAAAAAAAAAATTACTCATTTATAACATAATTGGATCCATTTTATGTGCATTTCTATTGTCGGTTTTTAGGACAACAGTTTTAAGATGATTGAATGTAGCTGAGTCTAACCAGCACTTCAAACTTTTTCTTGTTGATGAACTTTTCAAAATTATTTACAATCCGTGCAGGAGGGTCGGTAATGTCTCAGACGATCGCTAATAAACTGGACGCAGTTTTATCTTTTCACAGTCTGTCGTCAACAACAACTCTTTGGTTAAATGTCAGTGTTTTGAATTGTGTACAGTTTAAGGATAAAAACACAAGCAATAATTTCTTGTCATAGTTTATTAAAGCTAACTTGTATTTCTTGCTCGAATACAAATGTGGATATTGAATGCCCATAAAAATACTTTTTTTGTTGTTGTTTTTTTTTGTCCTTTCTTGCCTTTTAATGAAATTGGGAATGTTTTTGATATTTTAGATGAGATTAGATGGAAGAGAGAAATCCGTCATATTTAATGCTGGAATGTGAGTCTCACATTAAAACTGTACATGTGTGCAACAGAATATCATTTAATTTCACACATGAAATGTTACATGGGGCACAGAAGTTAAGATGAACATAGGCATCACTTCCTAGACAGTCTGTTTTTCTGAAGGTTCACTAAAGGTAGCGGTCAGTAATATAACCCGCTGCAGACAATTTTGAAATAGTTTAATACCTGGGTTTTTATTTTTCTATTTGCCGTGTTTGTTACAGAATTACAGAGGAAGTCCCTGGGGAGGCGATTGTACATACAGAGATTGTTTACACCTTGTTTAATGTGTCACTTCTCTTGACTTATATGATGTTGTACATGAGTGTTAGTATGGTGTTTGGCATTAAAATATCCTTTGAGTAGACAGAAACGTGTTTGCCTTGGTTTTTAGTAACACTTTTTGTACGTCATCTATTTATCTTGGTTTAGCTCTTTCTCTGTGTTCTTGCCTGGATTCCCCTTGGATACTTTGGCTTAGTCTTATCGACCAAATATGAAGACCCAAAACTGCGCTGACAGACTCTTCATCTCCATTGGATATGTGTGTACAGAATAAAGGATGGAGGGTTCAGCATCAAACATTCTGATCATTTTTATTCAGATTAGACCAGTTAGTTCTGGCTTTGTTGTGGGGGAAAAAAAGCAAAACCACAAAATTATGCACAAGGAAAAAGCAAAAATCAATTTTCTAAATTATATTAAAACAAAATACTAACCAGAGACATCAGGGATAAAGTGAAAGACAGGTTAGTTGTAGAAAAAGTAGATTTGGCTTCTGAAATGAAAACCCAAAATTTGAAGATCAAATTGAGAACTGTTTGATCTATTATCTGAAAAGGGAAAGCGGCACAGTTGCAGATCTACCCAGACAGAATCAGTTCAGGTGTGGGAATCTGTCAGCACTGCATCTGTCTGGTGTTCATTCTAAGAATCTGACCGTCACTGAAGAGCAGCAAGACGAAAACCGTTGAAATCAAAGCAGTTTCCCACAGGACTTGTTGGAGTCAGCAGAAAAGAAGAAGTTGCTCTGAACAGATGATACCTCATGCAAAATGTGGCATGTGAACCAACACTAAGCTAATTAAATACTACGTTAAACATGGCATCATTATGCTGGGGGATGCTATGTAGAAAGGGGAAAAATACTCCGTAGACTGGAAAAGTTGGTGGTTTTTTTAACTATCCAATTATCCACACGCAAAAAAAGATGTCAGTTTTTCTTGTAGTGAAAAAATGTAAAAAAAAAAAGTTGGTTTATATATACTTTTGCAAGGCGCTAAATTTCAGACATCAACAGGGTGTCAGTTGTGAGTTAATTTGGAGGAACGAAGATGTCTACTGTGCTCGTACGTAGATCCTTGTACAGATCACATCGTCTGCTCCAAAGATCTGAAAGGAAATGAGAGGGGAAGAAAAATGAGTAACAACTGTATCATCTTTCCGAGACATCTTTTGTTTATCTTTAGGATCTTTATTATTATTCAGTTTGGAAGACATTACATGTTCTTCAAAGTAGTTCTCTCAAACATTTCCCTTCAAGCCAGAATAACCAGTTTGAAGGTAAAACGGATTATTTTCACAGTGAATTAGGTATTTATGATTGTCAGGATTCCTTTAACAAGCACCCATCAGCATAGAAAAGAACAGTTGTGATCCAGAATAATAGCAGTCCTACATCTCCTAACCAGATCAATGTTTTTAGGAAATAATGCAGTAGGTCAGCCATGAGCTGTAGAACAGTTTAATCTTATTTAAGGATGAAGGCAGCAAATATAAATGCTGATGAGTGCTCTGAATTTCCTCTCTGAAAATCAGAGCAAAGCAAAAACATTGATCAAAAAGAACAACTTGCTTGATGAAAAGGTTTGACAGTGGGGAAAATAAAGAAATATGGGACATGTTATGCTGTTCTGATTAAATGATCTCATACTTTATGGAGGAAACCAGTCAGGAATACCCAGAAGAAAAAACAAAACTCCTCTTTTCATGGATAAGACTAGAGCTGATATGAAGTTTTATATGTGAGCACTGTGACAATTAGAAAACGCCCATATGAAGCCATGCCATAGGGTTAGCGTTAGCGTTAGTGCTGATGAGATTGCAATTTGCAAATGACTTTAGTCATCGGAAGCAGGTTGTTGATGAACTGAATCAAGCCATTATAAAACAAATTACCTCTGATTCACAGAAAAGTCCATATTTGGATTTTGAGCTGTTACTCTTTTTGGTTTTGTTTTTTAAACACACTGCTTATGAACACAACTGCATTTGAAAAAAGCCATTACTTCAACCACTCTTCATGTAGCGCTTTAGAACTCTGGAGTGCCCCCTTCTGGAGAAATTAATTATAAACTACAAAAAACTAAATCTTCCTAATTATTTTGGTCTTTTTGGTTGCTAGTGCAATATCTTACACTTCAAATAAGACTAAACTAATTCACAAGTCACTTTCAGTGTCATCTAAGAGCCTTATTCAAGTCAATAATTCATTTAATCTTGATGAAAAAATTCAAAGTTTTAAGTGAAAGAATCTGGCAGTGGAACTTGTACTGAGTAAAAAAAATACATGGTAAGGATGTTGCGTTTTTGCTGTTATAATTTAAAACCATGTCTTTTTCTTTTTTTTTTCTCAGACAGGCACAATAAAAGTGGTTCAATGAGCAGATTAAACTTTTTTAGAGTGTGTAAAATAAAACAATATTCTTCACAGCACTACAGCCAAAGCGTTTTCATCATGTTGGATGTTTTATTGTCACAACCGCCTGCAAAGAAAAAAAATTTTTTTTTTTCAGTCGACATTTCCAACTGTGATATATACATCCATTCCTAATCTTAAATTTCCTCAGCATCAAAATATATTTAGCAGATCATAAGTTCAAAAAGTTGAACCACATTTTTAAACTCTTCTGCTCCCTTGTTGTTGGTTAATTTACAGGTTAGATTCTGAAATTTCCATAATGAACAAAGCTCTTTTTAAACCCTGTCCTCTTACACTCAGGCAGACAGTAGCAAAGGCCATTGTTATTAAAATCGACTTTAATTAAGGACCGCAGCTGTCAGGTTCGCATTCTTCATCACGTTTCGTTGTCTAGAGCAAAACAAGTGACACAGCAGAGCGCCAGAGATTTATGGGCTTCTAAGGGAGTGTTGCAGAAAAAGGCTTAGAACAACAGTACATGTCATTACCCCAGGCGGTGCGGCGTGGAAGGATGAGGTTGGGGAAAGGTTGGAGAGGAGTCTAATTGAGCCGTGACGACTCCATCTGGCAGAGGGGTGTGATGTCATTAACTGGAGGTGACATCAGAGTTCATTAGCGCCATTCATCAGTGAGGAGAATGCAGCACTGCATCCCCTCATTCAGGCCAGATTCACCTGGCTTCTAACTTACTAAATAAATAAAGGGAGGTATTTTTTTTAGTTCTTTAGGTAATTTAATTCAGAATACATATGAACTCAAAATATGAGCCAAATGCATACACCTGCATAGAAAAGACTACTTTCCCTATTTTCCTTCAGGAATCCCTTAATTGATCATTATGTTTATCAATAGACGACATCATTGAGAGTAGAAACCATTATGTCGCCATTACTTGACAAAACCTATTTTTTTTTAATTTACAGTGTTAGAATGAACAATAACTCTAAAAATGTACATTTTGGTGTAAATAATTTTGCTGCCACCGATAATTGCATTTGATTTGTGTCTGGTTTAGAATTGGAGGTTAATTTAACTGATCTGCTCTCTTTCCAAGATTTAGATCTAGCTTCCACACAATTCTGTACAATTGAAAGAATAATAAATAATATAATTTTACTGCCACTCTGTTGAACGCCAGCCTTAACTGACCCCTGATGTGTGTTCAATTTTTTTCCAGAAATCAAATGACTGGTTGTGCCATTTTGAGTCCATTTCACATGTATATTCTTTAGTTGTGCTTGCGGTATTTAAACCTTCAAGAAAAGTTTTTTAATAGCCAGCTTCTTGTCCTTTTGCAAGCTGATGTGAATCTTAGTGGTTTGCAGAATGTCTATTTGTCCAAGAATACACAAACATCATTTTTATGTTTCATAAGGCCGCTACATTGCTGTGGGTTTTCATTTGGTTCCATAAATTCCAATTCTGATTTGTTATATCTGACATATAAATTCTTTTTTCAACTCACACAGAATCATGAAAGAAAATCAAAGCATAGTTAACCCTTAATTTTTATTTTATTTTTTTTGTATTCAGGGAATTGACTGCATCCAGGTATTTGAAACACCTAAACATCCAAATTATCCTGCATTGTAACTGGCATTTTGTAGTTTTTTTCTGTAATTCTAATAAAAGCATTCTTGTTATTAAATGTAAAAAAAATTAGTTAACATACCAAAAGGTATTTTTCTTAATTCATGTAGATCAGGGCAATTAAGAACCTCTTTTCACATTGTTTTAATTTGGCAGATTATAGATTAAAGTTTGATTTCATTCATTGACAAAATTTTTAAACACACAACTGTTTTTGGAGTTTTTTTCTTTTTTTTATGTCTCTCTAGAATCTAGAGGGCCACATAAAAACCTAAGGCGGGTCAGGTTTTGCCCCTGGACCTCAAGTTTTACATAAGACGTAAATCCGACGTGTAATTATTAAAAATAATAATGATAAAAAAAAAAACATGTTGCAAGACAAAGCTAAGATAAACACTGGAATTTGTTTTTCCTAACAATTAGGGAGCATTTAAAAAAATAGTTTTTTACAATTATTATTATTTTATTTTAACCATCCGAGCCTGCGCATCCAATCTTCCTATGTTTAGGGAATCTGCCTGGACTCTGTTCTCACATTTGTGATCTTTTTGTTGTGAAATCATTTTCTTTCCCTCTCCCTAAAACGATTCAATTCCAACATCCCTATCAGATTATAGTCTGTCACTCCAACATGAACAGAAAAACACACCCCTGTCTTAAACAAAAACACATTTAGAGAGAAGAAATCTTTCTGTCACATCTGAAAACCTGCATTCAGTCCAAATTGCTCCCTCTCCCAAAGGTTTCCCTGATTGCCTCTCTGCAGAGGTGAGTCAGTGTCCTCACAGAGATCTCCAGCCATGCCAAATCAGACAGCCTTTTCAGTCTTGCTTTACTTTTTTTTTATGTCCATCTGGCCAGTAAACCCAGAACAGATGTTGATAGGTTTCTCACAAGATTTTTTTAAGGCAGGCGTGTTTCTGATGGATGCAAGGCCATGAAATGATAGGAGGAATGCAACAACAAACATATGCCTGTGAGACTTTCAGTCCTTTCAAAGAGCTTTTTCATTGAAGCCATGAGAAAACTGGATGGGTTTTGTTTTCCTTGGAAAAAAAATCATAAAGGTCTGTTCACACATGCCTTACTGATAAAGGAATGTTTATGAACAATCTGAGATGGGGAAAGAATAAATCAATGGCATTTTCAATTGGCTGTGAGATTTCTAAACACTTCCTGGAACTGACAAGGTTTTTATTAATGAATTAACTTCCTTTTACTTCTCACAGTTGTTTCCTTTACATTTTTGTTTAACATAACAATTTCCTTTGTAATTTGGAAAGAACTAAAATGTATCTTTTGGTACATGTAAGCAAATCTGATTAAGTTAGAATCCAAAAAATAGTTACATTGTTTCAGTTTGATTTTGATTCATTACAGTCAAACTGATACTTTCTAGTGTTTATTTTTGCTCCCTTTGATCACTATTGCATTCAGAAAATAAAAATGCAAATTAAAATAGTAGATAAAATCAATAAATCATCATTTTAAGTACTGAAATGTATGGCTGAAAGGTAAATCAACATACTGACTATACATGCTCAGTTGTTCAGCATTTCCATAAAGCTTGTGATGAAAATGAAAAGATGAAGCTCTCATTAATTCCCTGACAGATGACTGTTCTGTTGTGGACAGCAGACCAATTCAAAAAGGTGACATAAAATCACCAATCATTAATTTCTGTGGAAACTTCACAGTGGTCATCAAACGATTCTCATTTTTTGCTCTTTCTCCAGACTCTGGGACTTTGATCCACAAGTGAAAGCTAAACTTTGCCTCTGAAAAGATGACTTTAGAGGTTTTGACATTGTTTCTCATTCAGGAGTGTCTTATCACAGGAAATGCAACAGTTACAACCTAAGTCCCAGATTACATCCTCATTTAAAGACTTTTCCTTCCACTAAACTTTCCATTAAAGTGCTTGGATTCAGCCAAGCGTCTTTTGCAGTGATGTTTTGTTACTGTTCTCATGGAAGATATCATTGACTGTCGGTTATACAACTGTTAAGTGAGCCATCGAGCTCACTTAACAGTTGTACATGACGTTTCTGTGTGGAAAAAAATCTATTTTTTTATTGGTTTTATGTAATATCCTAATTTTCTCAGAAAGTCATGTTTGAGTATTAATTACCTGAAAGCCATAATCACCAAAGTTATGAGAAATTTAAACCCCCAAAAATATCACACAGATTGTAATGATTTAGTTCAGGTATTTCACTGTTGTGTTTGATTAAATGAATGAACTCATACTTTTTGGACATGTTATATTGTCAAGTTTTTGTCCCGAGAGCAGATAAATGAAGCCATCTGCAGTAGGTATCACATCTCTTATGAAGAGCAACACACATCTGTCAAACTTAAACAACATGAGCATTTGTCCCATTTTAAAGACAACATATGCATTTTGTAGATCTACTAAATTCCCAATTCCCTCAAAAACATTGATTAATTTGTTTTTGGTCGGAGTCATTAGCAGTACAAATAGGTGTGCTGCTGGTAATTTTGTAAAAAACAATTATAAACTTGTAAGAAATGTTATCTTTTGTTTTAAACAATTTTCTTATTATTACAGCTGGTATTTGCTACAGTTTGTAGTGCGAGACTATCGAGCTGCAGCAAAAATAAGGACTTCTACTTAAAGGCCTTTAGCACATTTTTACCAGGGTACCAAATAGTTCTGGAGGTCACTGTGATTACTAATGTTTAGGTAGGTGAATCTTAAAAAACCCAAAAAACTTCAGTATTTCTGCTTTTGGACCTGATCAAAGACATCTTCTGCAATGCTGCATATTTCATCACATAAAAATATGATTTCCCATTGCTGCAATCTGATTTCCATCACACAAGTTGTTTTTGAAATAAAGTACACACTGTTCCCTTTTCCAAACCCTGTGCTTTGTGCCCCGCTGTGAATGAAGGCAGCCATTTCCAAGTCTGTCACTTTGTGAAGCATCCAAACATCTGGTCTAAGATTCTGGTCGAAATCCATCACCAAGAAGATGAGTGTGTTTGAAAACCACAGATTAGGAAAAGCAAACAAAAAGAGCTTTAAATAAATGAGACCATTGTGAAGAGTTCAAAGTGTAATCACTGCCTAAAACACCGGGTCCCTTCTTTTTTCATTATTTTGCTATTTGAAGTAAACGCTTACCAAAATGAGTTCATCCCCTTCGAGTTCTCGGCTCCAGAAGGTTTTTGGACCGTTCCCGCTCAGCAGAGTCTGTTTGCAGTAAATCTTGTTTTCCGTCTCCCACGTGGCCAAACTCTGCAGAAGATATTCAGTTTAAGATGTTTCCACCTTCAGCGTCACCTGTCTGCAGTAAAATCAACTACAAGGAATTTGAATGTTGCCAGTTTAATGTGGCTCTATTGTAAAGTGTAATAAGGAAACTAAACTTTGATGTGTTCAGGGACAGATTTTAATTTCATACCCTATATTTTTTTTTATACATGTATGTGAGTGTTTAGTGTTTTGGCGCCCGAGTCGATTTGCCACCAGTTGGTTTTTGAGTTACCTTACACTTTCTGCCATCCACCGTCTCCTCGTTGAACTCCTCGCCTACGATGAAGTTGATCTCCGTGGTGCGTACGGTGGTGGAGGTCTTGATGTAGAAGTGGTCACCGCTCTGTTTTATCTCCACATGGGGTTTGGATGCTGCCGCCCCTGCTACTTTCCTCAGCATGGCGTTCACACCTGCGATTCAGACAAAAAAGTTCAGTTCAAGCCTTCTTCTTTTAGAAGTTGCTGCTTGACCAAGAGCATGTTATCTTTCTAACTCCGGTGAAAAAATGAGTTCATTCAGTTTTTATTCTCCACAAATCTGGAACAAACTTCCAGAAAACTGCAAAACAGCCCAAACACTGATTTTCTTTAAATCAAGGCTAAAAATCCACCTGTTCAGAGTTCCTTAGGAGTGATAACAATCAATATATGTTAGTCAATATATTTGTTTGATGGTTTCGATGATAGTTTTTGACTAAATATAATCTTAAGTGGTTGTTTCATAATTGGCTACTGTACATGTCAAACTTGAGGCCAAATCCAGCACACTGTGACTAATTATGTGGTCCTTCAGACTCCAGAGAAAACAGAAATAGAACTTTAATATGACATGTGTGCTAAAGTATTGTTTTATTTGCCAAAACAAGTCAGTTTTTATTTGAATAGTGCCAAATTACATCACTGTAAAAGATGTGAAATCTCATTCCACTATAATATATGAAACATTTTTTTTATATATTTATCAATACATTCTGCTAAAATTGGCATGATGATCATGTGACCTGAAATGAAACAGGGTTTGACACTTCTGGGTTCCTGTATGATGGTTTAATTGTATAAAGCATTTTGAACTGCCTATATTGCTGAAGTATGTTATACAGATAAACTTGGCTTTACTTTATGTACTTTGATGTGTTCTGGGAATTGTAAGCGATGGATCAACAAGGTGGTGTTTAGTTGTGATGAGGAGAGGAAATGGGGCGTGGTTTTCAAAATCTTATGCAAAAGGTTCTAACAAATATAAAATGGATTTACTTTAATATTTCCCAAAATTATTTCATCCAACTACCAGGTTATTCTCACTGAAGTCTCAACTGTTTCCTAATGTTCTTTAATAGCTTTGTTGAAGAACATCAGGGAACATATAGCACATAAGGATCTGGGTCACAGAAAGAGTTGTGGACGAGTTTGATAAATGAAAAATGTAATGCAAAACCAGAAATATACAAAGATACGGATCAACAGGACAGGTAATCAGAGAAAGAGCCTGGAAGTTCAAAAGTTCTGTAGGGGAACTGCAGAGGTCCAAGGCTCAGGTGGCAGAATCTACTGACAGGACCCAAATCAAACTTTTGGCAGAGATGCAAAATACTTTGCAGGGCAGGTAACTAACCCCACACATCAGCGACTCTGACTCGGATGACTGCATACTAATATTTTGTCTATTGGATTATCTGTTAAAACCAAATATCATTTCCCTTCCATTTCATAATTATTCACTCGTTTATGTTGGATGATGACATCAAATTCCAATAAAACACATAACAAATTGTGGCTTTAAGATGACAAATGTGAAAGAGTTCAAAGGTTTAGGCTCTGTGTTAGCATACTTCAGACAGCCATGGCAAAGTAAAGAGTTTCACTGACAGTTAATTTTTTTTATTGTTTGTAAAAGGTAAAATGATCCACCAGCAGCTGCATGTAAGATTAACATCAGCAAATGTTGCAAATATGGAGATCACAGCACAAGGTGATGAGAGGGAGGAATGTTGATGCTGTTGACTTTGTTTGACTCTCCTGTAGATTGTGATAAATTATGTTCTCCCAGTGGAAGGAAAAACTATTAACCCTCGGTCAGGGAGACACAGAGCGAGATGTGAGACTCCTTTGGTCTGTTTCCACTTTTTCCCCAAGAGTTCACTTCCACTAACACACCCCAAAAACACCCAAAAACTTTTAGGCAGAGTCTTGCTTCTTGCAGATTTTATTCAGAATATAATTTAATTGTGACAAAAATCTGAAATTTTGAGTTCAAAGTAAAATACTAAAGACGATTTCTATGCAAGGTGCATTTTTGATACAGCAAAAAGTTCTTATATTAAAGTTTTAATCTGTAAATAGTTAATCTCTCCAGTTTAATCATTGGGCAAACAAAGCTTGCTACAGTTTTATTTTCAATGTGAGTTAAATAGCCAACTGAAAACACAAAAACATGAAAAAATAAATAAATAACACTAAACACACTTACCCAGAGCTTTGAGCAACTCGTCAAAATTCTCGCTGCTTTTCATTTTCCAGGTGCCTGAAAAATTTGCCATTTCTCTCTTCCTGTTGTATGCCGGCCGACGCCTCCTGTCCTTTGACTCCTCAGCTGCCTTTCTTTAGGCTATTTCTCTCCATCCATCTCTCCCCTCCCTCGCTCGCTCTCCTCCCAGGGCGTAATGATCTGACACATCAGACCAAACCCCTCCACCCTGCCTCCACCTCCGCTTCCTCTCAACACACACACAGACATGTACTTACAGACATTTACACACTTTGCTGGTAATTTGCTCTGTGAGACCTTTTAATGTTTGCAGATTGTTACATTTATCAAGTTATTTAAACCAGAATCTTTCTCTTGAATGAGCTCCTTTTCTGTTTATAGACTTTACTTCAGCTGACAACTAACTTGTGATTGTTAAAGTCTGAAAACTGTGCTTGGAAATTCATCATGAAACAAACAATATTTAATATCTGACAAAGATAACAAGAGTAGAAATATAAAGAAGATTTCAAATGTTATGATTGTTATGGAAGTAAAAGTGTCCAAACCAACTTCAGACAACCAACATGGAGGGATAATATTGAGTTTTGACAAAACTAAGAGAAGATTTTGGCTCACATCTCTTTTCAGAATTGGTTTTAATTCAACCACATTGATTTGTATTCATTCATAACCAATCAGTTTAACGCCAAACCTGTGAGAGAAAATAATTGAAAGTTTCACCAATTACTGTAAGGTAGACCCAGACCATCACACTACCACCACTGTGTTTTCTTTGTTTTACTGAAATGCTGTGTTAGTTTTATAACATGACACACAAGGTTTGTGTCATGTTATATCTGGTGGAAAACTAACAGTGCTAAGAATTCCACTTTTGCTTCAAATTTACCAAAGGTCTTAAGATCAGCAAGACGTTTTATTGGCAAACATGAGACATTTCCCAATAAATGTCTCAGTAATAGTTTTGGTATCAATCTAATACCAGGTAAATACACACCCTGTATAAACCGATATCAATACTTTTTGTTTAAGTTTGATATGTTGTCAGGTATATGACTTTAAACATATTCATTAATTTCCCTTACCTTGTTCAAACCTTTACTGAGAATTTGGTTAAGGTTTATAAATATCCACCAGATACTTATTGGCATGATTCTTGTACATTTTTTCTCAATAAACAAAGTGCAAAATTGTATCATTTGAGAGCAAATTCAAACAAAAGAAAATTTTGGGTTAGTGTTGAGAAACTTCAAAAATAAAATATAATTTTAACTTGGAATCTGAAACTAAAGTATCAAGCATAGCATGCAAGTATACATCTCAAACTGATACTGACTTGGTATTGATCTATGAAAGCTATGACTGCAGAGCTTTAGCTAGCATTTGTTTTCTATGCTCTCGCTCTGTATGTCTATTTACCACCTAGTTTTTTTTTTTTTTTGGCATGTTGTTTTGGGTTTTTTGTGATCCATGGGGTCAGCCAAGAGCATATAGATGTGTCCATGTGCTCTCGGGAGTGATTTTGGAAGGACAGGCAGTCCTGGGAAGGTTCACCACTGATCCATGTTTTCTTCATTTTTGGGTTATGGCTCCTTTTGTGGTTCACTGGAGTCCTGCAGCCTTGGAAACAGCTTTGCAACACTTTCCAGACTGACAGATGTGAATAACTTTATTTTCATCTATTTTTGAATTTCTTTAGACATTGCCTTTTAAGGTCTTTTGGTCTGATTTATGTTGTCAGACAGGGGCTTTACAGGTGATCATGACTTAGAAAGGGAATCACTGGTATTTTTGATTAGTAGTCAGTAGTTTTGTTCAGCTTTTATTCATCAAATTGAATAATTTCCATTCCCATTTTATACTTACTCCCTTAACCTTTTATGTGTAAATTTGTTTAAAATATCAAAACATTTAAGTGTAACCAAAAACAAGAAATTTGTGCTTTAGTAAATACTTATTTACAGCACTGCAGTAACACCCCATTAGCGTAATTTTAATAAACTCTAAATAATCCTTTTACTATCCTTTTCCCTACACCTGAAAGCTGAACATTGCTCTTATACATATTCCTCATATTAATGTTGCAGACACTCTTTAATTTTACAGCACTTCTGATATAAATCCAGGTCAACGGATAAATATATCTTCTAATCGGCGAAGGTCTAAGACCAAAGTGAACTTTTTCCATGTTAAAGAACTCCACTCTGAAAAACATCAATGTATCAATATTATTTCATAAACCAATGAATTTTTTGTCATGTTTGTACTAGGTGGTTGTTAATAGAGACACTGATGATTACTTCAACATACAGTGGAGACTGTCAGTGATCTTCATCTTCATTTTACAAACTGGCAGAGTGAAGATGAATCTATGTTCTTTTCTTCTTTTTCAAGTTTAATATGAAAGCCCTCATCTGTTACTTTGTACAGGTGAAATACTCTTGCTAATCTGTCAGCAAACCATATTTACATACTTACTTTTATGAATAATAAATTCTCCACCTTTAAAAAGGATTAGGGATTGTTTGAGGGTAACGTTGAGACGTAAAGAGGCAGAAGAGGAAAATGTTAAATTTTTATGGCTTCATGACATCTACTGCTTCTGCATTATTTTCTTGAACTGACTTGTCTAACAAATAATAATATGCATATCAGCTCTCTGTTGTGTGTCTCGTTGGACTTCAATAATTCTTTTTGTTTTACTTTGTTTATTCTTCACTGTATAAAATAAACACGTTTGTGTAAACAGAAGCGTCAAAAGTGATTGATTCTGCTCTAAATGCTCTTCACTTTCTGGACAAATAACCAGAAAGGTTAACCTCTCCTCCATCTACTTCAATTAAGATTTTAACTGATCACCTTTTCACAGAATGAAAAATACTGATAACCTATGCAAAAGCCCCACTATAAGTAACAGCAGAAAGTTGTTGACCAATATCATTAAAACATTTATTTTCTATGGCTAGATTCCTTTTTATTTGATTCCTTTTCTCCCCTAAACAGGTTTCATCTCTCTGCTCTGTGTGCAACGGTCTAACAAATCTACTTTATGGTTACAGTAAAAAGCCACATTTCAGTGCAACTAAAGCTGCTGTAATACAAATAAAAAGCTCAAAGATTTACATTTATGTGGAACTTGTATCCAATGCAGACAGATTTTATGTACATTCTTACTGGGGACTATAAGAATTAGACACCAACATAAATAAAACCCCTTCCTTTTAAAATCTGTTGGGTCTCTGGAGCTTCCTAAATCTCTAAACACTCTTCACATTGCTCTCCTTCTTTTCGATCATTTTGGGGCCGATCTCTTGCATAGCCACCTTTACATCCCATGAGAATGAGGGGCCCTTCCTCTAACCCCGGCCAAGTCAGATTTGTTCCCTTTCTGACAGTCCCTCATCAATCATTTTGACAAAGTGCCTCCCAGACACGGCCTGATAATTAAGGCACAGAGCAGAGCAGGGGGGCACTCTGTCATCCCACCAGGATCTGTCAGCGCGCCTGAAAGAGGGCCTCCCTGTTTGCTTCATTCATCTGTGGATTTGTCTGCCGGTCTCTGGGTGGTTTTACTTCCAAAAGAGGACATTTGAATGAAAAGAGGATTGTTAAAAAATATTAATTGAAACTTGGAGAATACTAGAGCAGTGAGTGAAGTCTGCTGCCCTCTGTTGGCAAGCTAATAAAAGTTTTGTAAGAACCTTATTTTTCCTGATTTATAAGTCTTGAGCAGTTTAGCCTGCAATGCAAAAACACAAAATCTTACCAAGTATTTGCAGTTGAGTTTATAGTGCAAATATCTCATTTGAAATAAGACAAAAGTAACACGCACATATCTCTTCAGGAAGATACTTAAAACTGATACTAAATATTGATGAAAAAGTTTTAGTTCCACTGGCAGATAATTTTACTTATACCATGAGAAAAATGTCTTAAAAGTGAAATAATCTTCCAGTGTAACTGGCACTTTAAAAAAAAAAAAACCTATATAGAGGAATAATTTAATTAAAATAAGCTCCGATATCTTGCTGAAAAGTTAATTGTGAATTAGTTTTGTCTTATTTCAAGTTTAGTAAGATACTTGCTCTCGAAACTAGACCAAAAATTACACAAAATATTTTTGTTTTTTCAGTATACAGTGAAGGCATAAATGCAACCACAGGAGTATTTCAGAATCTTATACAAATGTTGTTACATTTTAGCAAAAAAATCCTTAAAGACTAAAATATTGACAAATTTGAGTAAATGTGTAAAAATACAAATAGACTAAGAACTTTAGATTTAAACTGCAGGTTAAAATAACATACGAGTCATTTCAAGTACCACATCCATTCAGTTAGTTTTAAATCTTCTGCAGATGCTTTCATTTCAATTTCTAACCAGCATAATGAGATGCGACCTTTGGTGTCAGGGAGTCACTTTTCATAAGATGTATGGTCGCCCCACGGTTATGCTCACATCAGAAAAATACATTAACAACACAGTGACACAATCTGATTTTTCCCTCAGAATCTTATCTGAAAACTCCCTCAGGACAGAATAGGAAGGAACATTATTGACTTTCCTCTAAAATATGCAGGATATCTTATATGAAACACTATTTCTTTAAGATTATTGAAGATCAACATGTTCAGAATTTAAAGAAAAACTTAGTTAAAAAGAAGAAATTCTGAGGAGTTCTTAGCAGGACCAAGTATCTGAATTTCACTCACTGATCCAGTCAAATAAGCTATTTAAAGAAAAGTAAAAATTTATGAGGTAGTCATTTCAACTCTAAAATATTTTTTTTAAATTTCAGTTTGTTTTTTTTAGATAAGAGGCTCTAAGATTTTTCTTGGTCAAAGTTTGAGAAACACCATGACACCTTACAAATGAGATCACATATTTTAGCCAGTCTGAACCAACAAAAAAATAAAATAAAAAAAATAAATAAATAAAGAGAGCCTTGGTTATGAACTATTTGTCTGTGAATGGCTGTTCCATAACATGCAAAATGTACAAATGTGTTACTGTTTGTATTGTACATGTGGGCTTCTAAACGGAATTGTTAATGGCTTGTTAAACTCAGGTAGGAACAGAAAACTATTTTAATCCAATGTTTTTTCAATACTTGAAGTCTAAAGGCCTTTA